TCCAGACACCTGCCTGGTACAGCGGGAGAATTTGGGAGGTTTCTCTGTTCAGTTTGCCTGGGTTTGTTTTGGAAAGAGTGAGGAATATAGCTGCCCTCCCTGCTCTGGGTCAGCTCACAGTTCAGAGGAAATGACACCGTTCCTTTGTTCATTCAGCAATTGGTCTATTGACCATACATCCGCCTCACTGCCAGCATGCTGGCTTATGTGATTGTGCCCACAGCCTCCAGGCACAATAATAATTGCTAACCCACGGGATTCTGTGGAGCTGGTGAAGGGGCATTCCCAGCAGAGAGCTCAGCAGAGGTCTTGGAGTGCGGGCCCAGGGGAAGGCTGTGCAGAAAAGAGATTGAATTGGTGAATCCAGAATTAGACAGGCAGCCAGTAGGTAAATCAAGTCAGGTTGGATCAATTTTGAATGAGTCCGGGAAGTTGGAGGCTGCCGCCTGAGGGATTGAAATGTCAATTCTTTCGGAGCCCTTCCTCCACCCTTATCAAGAACCTACCCCTGATGTGATGGTCATCATTATAGAAAATACATTTATGACGATTTAAAAAAAAAGAAGAAGAACCTGCCCCTGCTCAACATGTTACTAAGGTAAACTGTCCCAGGAATTGCCCTCCACTACAGGGAGCTATAAGGTTGTTAATTAATGCATCCTGGGCTGCTCCATCCTGGTCTTCTTCCCCCTTCAGCCCACCTGTGTCCCACCTTTTGGCCAACCATGAGCATTCCTGGGCTAGACACGTATGCAGGAAGGAGAGAGATAAGGGGAAGAGGGCAGAAGAACAAAGGAATCCTAGGACATACAAAAAGGGCAGAACACCTTGCTTCTTGGGATACCAGGATTTCAGCTATGGAATATGCTTGCCTCGGTGTGCTTCTCTAATGCTCAAACTTCATCATGTGAGGAAGCAGAACTCGTCATCGATAACTGGCGGTATCATTGGGACTCCAAGAATCTAGCTTCTAAGGCCACTGACCTAGTCACTTGTCACAGAGAAAGCCCCCTTTCCTCACCACAATAGGCAGCAGGTCCCTAAGGGTGCCTCCAGAACCCAGATCCTGGGTGTCTGCAACACTGAAGGCATTGGAAATAAGCCTGGGATGGACTATGAATGTGCCCTGAAGGCCTGTGGAGGGCTCATTTCTGCTGGAGAGTTCTCGGGGCACCAAACCCCGGGACCCAGCAGCTTAGCTGGGAGTGGGAAGGGCATAGGGGTCTTAACACTGGTGTTGGGGCTAAGAGGGATCCTGGGTGGACAGTCCACCTAACAGGATAAGGAGCTGTCAGTACCTTGGCCTCTCTGTCCTCTAACAGACTCCCTTAAACGAGGCCCACTGTGGGACCACTTGACCACAGCAGTCCAGAAGAACAACGCTGCAGCCCCATTATAAGAACAATACCTGCGCACCTGCCCCAGCTGACGAGTGTGGGGCAGCAGAGCCAAAGGCACCAGAGGGTCAAGGCAACGCTGTTCAATAGGAATACAGTCAGCCACACAATGTTATTCTAGTAGTCACATATTATTAATTTATTCATTTTGGTTCTGTGGATTGAACCCAAGGACATTTAACCACTAAGCCACATCCCCAGCCCTCTTTATTTATTTTTTTTATTTTTTAAAGAGAGAGAGAGAGAGAGAGAGAGAGAGAGAGAGAGAGAGAGAGAATTTTTAATATTTATTTTTTAGTTTTCGCGGACACAACATCTTTGTTTGTATGTGGTGCTGAGGATCGAACCCGGGCCGCACGCATGCCAGGCGAGCGCGCTACTGCTTGAGCCACATCCCCAGCCCCCCCTTTATTTTTTATACAAATAAATAAAGTGAGAGATAGGATCTCACTAAGTTGCTTAGGGGCCCCAATAAGTGGCTGAGGCTGGCTTCAAATTAGTGATCCTCCTGCCTCAGCTTCTCAAGCCTCGGGGATTACAAGGATGAGCCACTGTGCCCAGCTTTATTTTTTATTTTAAGACAGGATCTAAATTGTAAGATTGAGACAGGGTTCCATTAAGTTGCTTAGGGTCTCTCTGATTTGTTGAGACTGGCTTTGAACGTGGATCCTCCTGCCTCAGCCTCCCACATAGCTAGGATTATAGACATGCACCATGCACCTGGCTTAGTAGCCACATTTTTATTTTATTTATTTGTTTATTTGGGAGGGTACCAGGAATCAAACTTAGAGGCACTCGACCACTGAGCCACATCCCCAGCCTTATTTTGTAATTTATTTAGAGACAGGGTCTCACTGAGTTGCTTAGCACCTTGTTTCTGCTGAGGCTGGCTTTGAACTCCTGATCCTCCTGTCTCAACCTCCTGAGCCACTGGGATTACAGGTGTATGCCAGTGTGCCCAGCTCACATTTTTATTTTTATTTATTTATTTTGGTACCAGGGATTGAATGCAGGAGTGCTTAACCACTGAGCCACATTCCCAGCCCTTTTTTGTATTTTATTTAGAGACAGGGTCTCGATGAGTTGCTCAGGGCCTCACTAAATTGCTGAGGCTGGCTTTGAACTCACAATCCTCTTGTCTTAGCTTCCAAACTGCTGGGATTACAGGTGTGCACCACCACACCCAGCAGTAGCCACATTTTTAAAAAGTAAAAAGCTAGTAAAAGGAATTTTAATAATTTATTTAACCCATTTTATCTAAAACATGATTATTTAAACATAATAAAAACTTTTTTATGTGTGGTGATAGAAATCAAACCCAGGGCCTTGCACATGCTAACAAGGGCTCTACCGCTTCGCTACATTCCCAGCCCTTTTTAATTTTTTTTTTTTATTTTGGGTCAGGGAGTTGGTCTCATTAACTTGCTCAGACTAGTCTCAAACTTGAGACCTTCCTGCCTCAGCCTGCCAAGTAGCAGGGATTATAAGTGTGTGCCACCATACCCGGCTAGAATAACTTGTTTTGTTTAGTACTGGAGATTGAACCCAGGGGTATTTTATCACTGAGCCACATCCCCAGCCCTTTTTATTTTTTATTTTGAGACAGGGTTAAAGTCTCTGAGAACCTTACTAAATTGCGGAAGCTAGCCTCGAACTTGTGATCCTCCTGCCTCAGCCTCCTGAGCCACTAGGATTATAGGAATATACTATCATACCCTTAGAATAACTCTTTTTTATTGGTACCAGGGATTGAACCTAGGGGCACTTAACCACATTCCCAGCCCTTTTTATGTTTCCTGTTTGTTTGTTTTGTTTTGTTTTAATTTTGAGGCAGGTTCTTGCCAAGTTGTTCAGGGCCTTGCTAAATTGCTGAAGCTGGCTTTGAACTCACGATCCTCCTGCCTCAGGCTCCCAAGTCACTTGGATTACAGGCAAGTGCCACCATGCCCAGATTTAGAATAACTCTTATTTTTTAGTTATAGGTGGACACAATATCTTTATTTTATTTTCATGTGGTGCTGAGGATCGAACCTAGTGCCTCATGCAGGCTAGGCAAGCACTCTACCTCTGAGCCACAACTCCAGCCCAAGAATAACACATGACTCACTTCCATAAGGACCTCTAGCTCTGCGCCCTTGAGTCCTCAGTCAGGCAGAATCCTTAAGACAAGCATCACATCTGACTTGTGCTCCTAGGCCTCCCCTGTGGTTACCTGTGCTGTCCCTGTTTCCTGAGAAGGGACCCCTAGGACAAAAGAGCACAAGTGTGAGGCTGACCTGGTGGCATCTCTCCATGGTGAGTCATTTCCTTCCAGCCAGTTCTCACAGCTGGAAGACACAGGGGTCTGAGAGGAGGCAGGGTTGGGGGGAAATCTGGATGTCACTCATCTACTCTTCATTCAGTATGCACTGATTGAGCACCTGCTGCAGGGCTCTAGGACATGGTAGTGACCATATGCTTCTTCCCGAGAGACCAGACCAGTGTGGGAGACATGTCCATGAGACAACGGCAAACCAGTGCCGTTACATACTGAGACTGTGCTGATGGAGAGCATCAACATGACACAGCCCCTCCCTGATTCTCTTTTTTTTTTTTTTTTTGGAACTGGGATTGAACTCAGGGGCACTTGATCACTGAGCCACATTCCCAGCTCTACTTTGTATTTTATTTAGAGACAGGGTCTCACTGAGTTGCTTAGCGTCTTGCTGTTGCTGAGGCTGGCTTTGAACTCACAATTCTCCTGTCTCCACCTCCCAAGCCGCTGGGATCATAGGCATGTTCCGCTGCGCCTGGCCCGAATTCCCTTATTTCTCTAAATTCCTGGAGTAGGATCCGGGTGCCACTTGCCAATCACCTGGACCCAGCCTAGATGCTGTCAGCTGCAGGTCCCAAGGACACAGGGCCAGGACACATTCCCAGTTGCAGAGCTGCCGTCTCCTGCCTCCTTTGTCCTTCCTAAGGGTCCTGCACACCACTGCCCTTTGCCAGCAGGGCCAGAAAAGGATCTTCTCCATCCATCTACAGGAACAGGCTGTTAAGGAATGAGAGGCCTTGGGAGAAAAAGGGATTGATTGAGGTCTGCTGGGTGCCCAGCCCTGGGTAGGGTGAGGAGGCCAAAGAGACTCGTCATTGCCAAGGCAGGGGATCAACAGTGAGTTAAACAGGAAGCCTTCAGCCTGGGCACTGTCCCTTTTATTGTAGCTCTAGGTGTCTAGAGCAACCAGAGGAGGCAGCAAAGTTTCCTTTTCTTGGAGACCAGGTTTCAGGACTTGCAGAGGTGCTCCTTACCCACGGTGGGAAATGCACGCTGTTCAAAAGTGGTCTCCTCATTGTCTCTCTCTTCACAGAAACCCCCCACATTTTGGCCTCACATGGCCAGGTTTTTGTTGTTGTTATTGGTGTTGTTTTTTTGCAGTACTGGGGATTGAACCAAAAAGAGCTCTGCCTGTGAGTTTACCTCCAGCACTTACTTATTTATTTTTAAAATTTTGAGACAGTATCTCACTAAGTTTCCCAAGCAGGTGGCCAGGCTTCCGAAGGCATGTGCCAGGGCCAACTGCTCTGCACTGTGAAGACCCAGCTGAAAGGAAAGTGAGGCAGACATATACACGAGAGTTTATTTGTCAAGCTGACAAAGAAAGGCCATCTCTCCTTGGACAAGAGAGGCAATACAGGTTTGGGGCAGGCTGAGGGATTAGAACTGGGTGGTTAAGGGTGGGGTGAGTATGAGGGAGTGGTGAGCCTTTCTCAGAAATGCTCTTGGGTGGGACAAGTGAAATTTTTCTTAAAATGGCAGCTGTCACTTAAGATGGCCGTCCAGATGCTAAGCAAGGACCTTACAACCAGCCCCCAGCTACCCCTGTGTGTGTCTGACCCCACAAGAGACTCAGGCAAAGGGACATGAGGCATCATGACCACCATTTAGGGTTTGCCTGATAGAAGAAGAGTCAATCATGAAATATGGATTTTAGAGGTTCAGGAAGACTCCCTGCTACGAGTCAAGGGAAGAAGGAAAGGAAGTTTGCCGACAGCCCCTCTCACCTGACCTTGCCCTGAGCCCACCCTGCTTTGGTTTCCCCACTTCCAGAAAGGAGGAGCCATGCTGTCCTGTTAAGTTCATCAGCCCTTTGCTACTGTCCCTGCGCAGCACACGCTGCAGCATCATGATTTCATGGCTCTGGGCTGCCAGGCGCTCCTGGGGTCCCCAGTCAGCCACCCCACAACTCCTGCTGGCCACAGTGGCTTCCTCCTGGGACCCCTCTGGGAACCTGTAGAACAAGCTTACTGTAGCAGTGGGGCGCTGGACATCAGTGATCCAAGTCAGGCTTGAGTTCAGAAGCATCCCCGCCACCCTTTCTGCAGGAACCTGAGTAATGACATAGGTCCTGGTTACTAGCTAGAGAGAAAGACCAGGTGGATAGGAAGGAGGGCTTCCAGATTTAACAAATAAAAACACAGGAATACTCTAATTAAAAAAAAAATACAGTACATACACGTTAAATTAGAATTTCAAACAAACAATGAATAGTTCTTTAATGTCAGTATGATCTGAATATTGTACCCTGCATCTCACCTGGCAATCCTAGTAGGAAGTTTTATGTCTTTTGCTACGTGGTGTCCCAGGCAGGGGGCTGATGCAGGTGAATGATGTCTCACAGTTTTGTTTTGTTTTTTTAAAGAGAGAGAGAGAGAGAGATAATTTTAATATTTATTTTTTTTTTAGTTTTCGGCGGACACAACATCTTTGTTTGTATGTGGTGCTGAGGATTGAACCTGGGCCGCACGCATGCCAGGCGAGTGCGCTACCGCTTGAGCCATATCCCCAGCCCAATGTCTCACAGTTTTATAAACTGGAACAGATCTGCTGACACCCTCAGCCTATAGTGTGCGAGGAGCCATGTGAAGGGGCTGCAGCCCAGGACACAGGGAACCCAGCTGTGCCCATCTTGGCTGCAGCATGACTTCCAATGCCTCTCACATCCCAACCCAAGATGGAATTGAAGCTCTGAAGTGTCCTGAAGGGAGCCTGTTCCCCAGAACCCAGTAAATTTGCCATCTCAGCTCAACATATAAAGAGTTTGCATTGGCTACAACACTATTTTCTCTTTCTCTCTCTCTCTTTTTTTTTTTTTTTTTTTTTTTTGGTACTGGGGATTGAACTCAGGGACACTCCATTGAGCCACATTCCCAGGCCTATTTTGCATTTTATTTAAAGACAGGGTCTCAGTGAGTTGCTCAGTGCCTTGCTGTTACTAAGGCTGGCTTTGAACTCACAACCCCCCTGCCTCAGCCTCCTGAGTCCCTGGTAAAATTTAATATACAGGACTGGGCTGTAGCTCAGTGGTAGAGCACTTATCTAGCATGTGTGAGGCACTGGATTCAATCCTTAGCTCTGCATGAAAAAATAAAAGTATTAGATCCATCTATAACTAAAAAAAAAATTTTAAGTGAAATTTACAGATTAGGATGAGTAAGAGATTAATGACAATAACCAAGATGAAAATGAACAATTCTGTTATGGCTTGGATCTGAAATATCCCCTAAAAGCTCATGTGTTGAAGGCTTGGTTCTCAGTTCACCGGTATTCGGTCACCAGGTGAGGGGACTATTAGGAGCACAGAATCAGTATGGAGGTGGTCATGGAATTAAATGCCAAGTCTGGGAGACTGGGGATGTAGCTCAGTCCCCATGTTTAGCCTGTGTAAGGATTGAAAAAAATATATATATATAGCCCGGTCTGGCTAGGGCAGTGACAGGGTGGAGCACAGAGCAGGACCCAGAGGCGCAAGACGAGAAGGTGAGACATCTGTTTCTAGGCTTAAGCATGCACTTTCACCTCTCAGGTGGGTCTGTGCCCTGTGCTCTGGGTAACAAAATTCCAGAGGCTTGTATTCAGTGAATGATCCCCTTCGTCCTTCCCTTCTTCCTCGGTTAATTTTAAGCAATATATGGCCATTCAGGTCTGGAGTATCCATCCATACATGAACGTGCCACAAAGGAATAAGTGACTAGAAATGAAATTTTGTGGGCCTTGGGGTCACAGTGAACTGGGGACCTGCATTCTGGTCCTTTCTGGGCCTCAGTTTCTTCATTTGTGAAATAGGTATGTGAGCCCCTGCTGGGTGATCATGCAGGGGAGCTGAGAGGGTCAGCATGGATGCCAGTGTGAAGGTGTTAGAGGAGGGCAGGACACAGTTGTTTAGGTAGAGTCCTAAGAGTCTGGCGGGCTGACCAGAGGCAAGGTAGCCAGAAGGATTTGTTTACTAACTTGTACTTCCTGGAATCTGAGCAGGTCAGTCCTGTTTGTTTCTAAGTTCTCATGGGCCTGCCTGAGCTCAAGTAGGACATCTGTGGTCTGGGGTCAGGGCAGGGACTAGCCATGGGCAGCTCCCATATAAAAAATGGTTGTTGGGCTGGGGTTGTGGCTCAGCGGTAGAGCACTCACCTCGCACGTGCGAGACCCTGGGTTCGATCTTCAGCACCACATAAAAATAAATAAGTGAAATAAAGGTATTGTGTCCAACTACAACTAAAAAATAAATATTAAAAAAAAAAAGTGGTTGTAAACAGCTGGTGGTCATCAGGGAAGCCACTGATGTGTGTGACAGTCAGTGCCTAGGCCAAGAAACACCCAGCTGCATTTTGAGCTCCTAGGGCCCCTCCTCAGCTGTGGTCACCCCACACCTGAAACCTTGTAACCCAAGAAGTAGTTGAATAGGTCATCTTCCTCCCCCACACCTTCCTTTTGCAAAGAAGGAACATTCCATTGCATCAGATTGAATGTTGTGATCAACATGAGACTCAGAGGAGCTGCCAAGGGCTTGCAAGAGGAAGCCAAGAGAGAAAAGAGACTCAGCAAAATAAAGCTTCACCTGTGGATATTTTGAACTGCTATTTTGAGGCTCTGGGAGACTGAGTGCCTGGTTCTGGTGTCAGGTGCTTCGTCTGCTGGGCGCTGATATTATAGCTCCCTGCATCCAGCTGTAATATTTGTGCCCATTTCTTTCTGCAGCAGAGTCCTGCCAGGCTTGGAAAGGAGGGCTGATGGGCAGGCCTGGTCTCTACCACATCTATGTAAGAGGCATAAGTGGGCCAATGTTGGAGGAGGGTGACATGCCCCTGTGGAGGCATCAGGAATCAGAGAGGACCTCAAAAAGAAGAAAATCTTAGGGAGTCCCCCAGTCAAGAAAGGGTATGTGGGGCTGGGGTTATAGCTCAGTTGGTAAAGCACTTGCCTAGCACATGGGAGGCACTGGGTTCAATCCTTAGCACCACATAAAAATAAAGGTGTTGTGTCCATCTACTATTAAAAAAAAAAAAAAAGGAACAAAAAGGGTATGGGCTGCCAGGCACAGTGGAACAGGCCTGTAATCTCAGCAATTCAGAAAGCTGAGGTGGGAGGATCACAAGTTCAAGGCCAGCCTGGGCTACTTAGGACCCCATCTCAAAATTTCAAGAATGAAGTTCTGGGTTTGATTCCCAAAACCACAATAAATAACAATGAAAAAGAGTGGGGATGTGACTCAGTAGTAGAGCACCTGATTCAATCTCAATCTCCAGTACCACACACACACAAAAAAAAAAAAAAAAGAGAGAGAGAGAGAGAGAGAGAGAGAGAGAAGAAAGGGTATAGCTAACTAGAGACTAGAGACTATGGAGGCTGAGACAGTAGGCTTGTAAATTCAAGGCCAGCATCAGCAACTTAGAACCTGTCTCAAAATCTTAAAAAATTTAAAAAGGGCTTTCAAAGGACAGGTTCTTTGTCACTGGAAATCAAGCAGAGACTCTCATAGAGAAGGGAGCCATGGAGGATGATGAATGAACAAGACAGACTCTCAGAGGTCCAAGTATAAACTTAGTTGACAATGCAAATCTGTGCATTCTGCTTACAGCCTCACTAAGTTGCTAGGGCTGGCCTTAAACTAGCGGCCCTCGTTTCTCAGTCTCTCAAGTCGCTTGGATTACAGGCGTGTTGGCCACCAAGCCCAGTATGCTGTGCAGTCTTGCCTCCATCTAATACACTCTACCTGGTCCATCTTTAGGCAATGAGCTCTACCAACCTCCAAATCACAGCATGATCTTTCTGTCTCTGTCTTTGCTGGTCCATTTGCCTGGAATGTCCTTTCACCACCTTCCACTTAATCACTTTGTAGTTTTCAAGATTTGGCTGCAGGGCTGGGGATATAGCTCAGTTGGTGCAGTGCTTGCCTCACATGCACAAGGCCCTGGGTTCAATACCTGGCACCAGCAAAAAAAAAAAAAAAAAAATCTAGCTGTAGTGACCATTGTAGAAAAGGCACCATGCTTTTAGAAAACCATCTCCTTTTTCCTTCCAAGGTACCTGGACAGATATCTGCCATTTTCCTTCATGCCATGCCAGCCCCCCACAGGCAGGTATTCAGGAAATGCCTGATGATTGACTGAGGGAAGGCAGCAGAAAGAAAGGCCAAGCACCAGAGCCAGAATCCAACACTCAAGAATGCTTGGTTAAGTGCCTGGTGAAAACTAAGGTTTCCCTTATGTAAGATTTTGTGTGTGAGAGAAAACGAGTAGGGAACCTGCTCCCTATTTTGCCCAGCTGAGCACATGAAATGTGCACATGAAATGATGCGCAAAAATTATGCCCTGTCCCCTGGTAATCAGAAAGGTCAAGGCAGTGCTTCTTCAAGGAGAAAGGCAGAGTGAGACCCTGGCAAATCTAAGAGGGGCTCCATGTCTCCTGTGTGCAAGAGGACTCAAGAGCCTAAGGATTCTGAGCATGGCCCCAAATAGAAGCTGGGGTGGAGAAAAACTCAGACTGTTCTCTAAATAACTTCCTGCCCCTGCCATCTGCTGCCAGACAGTCAGGGAAGAATGCAGCCTGCATGGCTTCCTTTAAGAGCTATCAGAGCTATGTCCTGGTACAATGGAGTCTTAAGGCACAGAAGGTCCCACCCCTTTGCCTCTCTGGATCCCAGAATAGGGCTAGAGTTCTCCTGTTCAGCCCTTTTCCCACAAAGAGAACCTGATCTCTCGGTTTTCAAAACTGAAGGCCCTTAAAAAATATATAAATAAAAATAAAAAATAAATCACACATTTAAACATTTTTTTGAAGGCCCTAGAAGAGGCAAGCCAACTTGTTTTTTTGTTCTTTTTGGTACCTTTTTCTTAAGTACCAGGGATTGAACCCAGAGGTGCTCTACCACTGTTTCATCTCCTTTTTATCTTGAGACAGGCTCTCACTAAGTTCCTGAGGGTCTCGCTAAATTGCTGAAGCTGGCCTCAAATTTGCCTCCTGCCTCAGCCTCTGGAGTTGCTGGGATTATAGGTGTGTTCCACCATGCCCAGCTCACAGGCAAAGTTTTTGGACTGGAGGAAATCTGTTACCTATTAACGTAAGACCCTATAATACAATCAAGCAAGAACCACCACCCCCACCCCACCCCCCCGCCAATAATGGGGATTAAATCCCTGGGTGCTTTATCATTGAGCTACATTTCTAGCCACCCACCTATTTTTAGGGGCAGTACAAGGATTGAAATCAGGGGCACTCGACCACTGAGCCACATCACCATTTATTTATTTATTAAAGAGAGAGAGAGAGAATTTTTAGTATTTATTTTTTAGTTTTTGGCGGACACAACATCTTTGTATGTGGTGCTGAGGATCGAACCTGGGCCGCACCCACGCCAGGCGAGCGCGCTACCGCTTGAGCCACATCCCCAGTCCCTTGTATTTTAGAGACAGGGTCTCACTGAGTTGCTTAGCGCCTTGCTTTTGCGAAGGCTGGCTTTGAACTTTGATTCCCCTACCTCAACCTTCAGAGCCCCTGGGATTACAGGAGTAGGCCACCGCACATGATTCCCTTTTGAGACAGGGTCTTGCTAAATTGTCCAGGCTGGCCTCAAATTCACAATCCTCTTGCATTAGCCTCCTATTAGCTGGGATTACAGGTATACCAACATACTTGACCTGGGATCTTTTTAATCAAGTTTATAGGCTGTTGTTCCCACATTTCAATTAGGAGGATGGTGGCCACTACCCAAAAGGTTCCATTTACATCATTTCCTAGGAACTTTCCCTATTTCCAACAAGGTCTCTTCACACTAGGCTGAATGTTATGACATCTGCATTAGTTATGTATGCGTGGTACAAATGTCAGTTTAGTTGAAGATTATGTAGCTAAATTTAGGAAAAATAGCTAAATAAATAAGACTTTCTTTTCTTAGCACTGGTTATTTTGGTGCACTGGGATTGAACTCAGGGGAAGCTTTACCATTGAGTTACATCTCCAATTCTTTTTTTTTTTTTTGAGACAGGATCTTGCTGAGTTGTTTAGACAGGTCTCAAACTTGCAATGCTCCTGCCTCAGCGGGTTTAGTCGCTGGAGTACTGAATTGTTTTATCATGTTTCTCCTAAATAAAATATCCAGAATCCAGCATAAAAATCTTAAGAGATTCAGATTACTTATTCTGCCCTCAAGCAACCTATCTATTGAATCATAGTCTTTGGTGGGGATTTTTTTTTGTTTTTAAGCTCCCTAGGAGTTTCTGTGCATACTAAAGTTAGAGAACCTTAAAATAGATAAAACCAATTGGTTGCCTTATTTTTCATATTTCTATTGAACAGCATTGTATAAGTTCTATTTCAATTTACCTCTAAGTTGTTTTCAGTCTTACAAAGCAAATAAGAATGTTCGCACAAAGGGAAAATTCTTTGCAATTTTCAAAGTCTTAGAAATTTCTAATGAGCAAAATGAAAATTAGAGTTGATAATAAAAATGGAACTGGGCTGGGGGAAGGAGTTCAGTGGTAGAAGCACTTGCCCAGCATTCACAAGGCCTTGGGTTTGATCTCTGGTGCCGCAAAAAACCAAAAAAGTTAAAACCAAAACACAACAGCAAAATGGAACCAAATACTGGAGTTATTTGACAACCAGGTTAGCATTTTATTTCTCTATTCCTGACACACTCAAATTCATAGGAAGTGAAAAGATAACAGAACAAAATCAAAATAACATACAAACACAATTCAAAAACATTTAACCATCTATTATAGTTGTTCTTTGTAAAATACACAAAAGTAAACAGAAACATCTTCATATAAATTATGCTTAACAATCTGTATATACTGTAAAACAATTGTTATAATTCACACTAAGATCCTAGTGCAAGCAGTGTTCTGTGAAAGTGCAAACAAAGTTAGTGATAAACAATTGATCACCGACTTACCACCTCAACATATTTTGCATTCAGCCAAATACTTTTTATGAATTTTAAAGTAACTTGACCACATTCACCTGAGTGCTCTTGCTTTAGTATGGCAACTGATTATGAGTTCAGGTTAGGAGCAGCACCAGGGAATACAGATACTCATGTGAAGTTGGCCATTCTGACATGAATCTTTATACTTGATAATGACAATTCTGGAAAACAAACAAACAAACAAACAAAAAACCCTTTCTGTCAAAACTATAGAATTGTCACCCTCTTTTAACCCCCCAAATTAAATCTAATTCCCCATTTAAAATGCATGCTTAAGAATCCATGCACTCCAGTGCAATTTTTCCAAAAATAATTCAGCATGAAATCACTTTTCCATTTCTGTCCTAAGATCTGTTTGGGATAGGGACACACCTGAAACGAAAGTTTGCTTTGGATGACCTTGCTTACTTTCCTCTGATGACTTTGGATTCTATTTTAAAGAGGAAAAAGTCCTGAAAAATCAATCAATCAATGGCATTGAATATATTAGCTATTTAGTGTTCTAAATTATGAGAACAAAAATCCATTGGTTCAGAACTTCATCTAAAATAGACTGTGGATTTCCTTCCTACTTAGGGATCTTTTAAATTCAAGTGTGTGCATGTGGGTGGTGGGGGTTGGTATATGAGAGGGATGGTTACAGGGCTCAGGAGTGGAAAGGTGGTTTTAACAAAAATCCCATTCACTTTATACACAGAGGCACGGTAATATATTCCAAGAGCTTTTTTGTTGTTGTTGCTGTTAAAAAGCACCAACTTGAATTTCAAAAGAACAACAATAATGGAAATGAGTAGAAGTATTATCATGCAGTTTTGATAATTCAGTCCTTAATTAGAGCATACCGTTTTTTTTTTTTTTTTTTTAACTCTTGTATTTATAGCAGAACCTGTTTTTTTAATAAGTTTTTATTACTCATTAATTTTGCATTAAGGAATTTATATTTACTGTCTAGTTTTTTCATAAACCTTTATGTCAAAATATGTAAGATTTTTTTGAATACTCGAGGTTTGTTTTTTATTTGTGAAATATCACCAAATATGTCTAAAAATGACCCAAATAATACATTCTAAATAAGATAACTAGGAAATTTTTAAGAAAATATAAGCCGTTTTCATGTATTCTGGTCAAATTTTACTTGGCAATAAATCCTTGTGGGGCTTGGGGTGTAGCTCAGTGGTAGAGTGCTTGCTAAGCATGCATTAAGCCCTGGGTTAAATCTCCAGTACTGCAAAAAATAAATAATAAAAATAAAAATAAAAATAAAAAAAAGTCCTTGTGAATTTCGGTCATGTAAGTGATTAACAAGATCAAAATACCACAATGAGTCACATACCAAATAAAGAGTTTCAGAAATGTAAACTTTTCCCTGAAATGATAACTAGAAGTACATTGTTTTTAATGATGAAATTTTTGAAAATATTTTTTTCTTTTTCTTTTTTTCTTTGTGGTACTGGGCCTCATGCCTGTTAGGCAAGTGCTTTACCACTGATCTAGTAGTCTAGATCCCTAGCCCAGTGATGGGTTTTAAATGTGATTAATAAAATCATTTTCCAGAAGACAAGAAACACTATCATCATAGCTAACATCCTATTTTAATGGTTTACAAGTATTTTACATGCTGGAAAGTATCATGAAGAAGTGGAACCAGTGGAAAACAATGTTCTGCCTTTATGTTGTAAACCACAGTAAATCTGTATATGGAGACAGGAAAACAAAACTAAAATTTAGATCTATTGCAGGTAATATCTGAATTCAGACATCTTTGGCACTCATTCAAAAAGATATTGGTTCAACTAAGCCAATAGTGAACAGTATTTTTTTCATATACTTTAGGATGGCTGGGGATATAGCTCAGTTAGTAGAGTACTTGTCTAGCATGTGCAAGGTCCTGGGTTCAATCCCCAAAACCATAAAAAAAAATCATATATTTTAGAAAACATCTGTTACCAATTTAAAATGCTGTCATTTCCATTCTAAAAATTCACTAAGCCAGGTGTGGTGACACATGCCTGTAATTCCAGCAGAGTTGCTAGGAGGCTGAGGCAGGAGAATTGCAAGTTAGAGGCCAGCCTCAGCAACTTAGCAAGATCCTATCTCAAAATAATAAATAAAAAGGTAAATAAAAAGGGCTGGGGATGTAGCTCAGTGGTAGTGTGCCCCTGGTTTCAATTCCTAGTACCAAAAAAAAAAAAAAAAAAAAAGATTCACCAAGATAAACTAGATATTATCAACTTAACCACTTATGGTCCAAAAGTATAATAAATAGCAGTCATTCAAACAGATGTGGACTTAAAACAACTTTAAGAATATAAAAGTGGGCTCAGACCTTACAATTGTAGAGTTTTGGACTTCAGATTTTAGAATGTTGTTTGCATGATGCCTGTTTGTATAAAATCCAGTCTTAACTTGTATACAACAGTGTTAATAACTATACTTTAACAGCTTTTAGTGTGGGGCACAGAATTAACCTCTTTTCCCTACATTTGCCTAGGAAACACTCCACAGGGGCACATTCATTTACAGAGTTGCCTTCTACATATGTTTCTCTCAATCTGCTTCCTGGAAGGGGAGCTTCGACCTAGTGAATGTGCTCTGGAGGGGTTCTCAGCTCTGGCTGGTTAAATCCTCTGGCTGGGAGTGGAAAGAAAGCTGGTTTCAGCTAAATGTAGCCAGCTCTACTTCTAGTGCCTCGGGACATAAGACTCTTACATTATTGGGAAAATATCCACCATTTAGTGACCTGTTTCTTTGATCCCAGTGTCAGAGCTAGAATGAAGGTTCTCGAACAAACTATTTTACCAAGAACCTGTTAATTTTTTTCCTTTTTACCAATTTATGCCAAAATGATTAGAGTATTAGAACAGCTCCTCTAGGAAATACATGCAGAAAGGTATGTCCCTGAAGGTAGTGAAGACAGATACCCATGAACAAGATGCAGCTGTTTTCTAATAAGGCTTAGCTCTGTATAGTCAGGATTTTAGGAGCGAATACTGTAAACCATCTGGCACATAAACCAACAGGCTGCAATGTCATTTTCTAATTTTCCCTTAGTGCTACTGATGTCTCTAGGCAGAGAAGAAATTCTTTCATTTTCACTTAGAAACAAGCTGAAAGTGAAATAGAATAGCCAAATTACTAAAACCAAGTGTTAAGAAATGATCTTGTTGGCTTACTAATTCCTTCTAGTCACATTCCTCAATCTGTATCTGCTTCATAGGTTACATTATCAATGACAGAAAGAAATATACCAACTTTGCCTGGGGAAATGGCTAGAGAAAACACTAAGGTTGATATTCAAATTATTCTTGATGGAACTGCAACAATCTCTTCTCAGTGGAACTGGTTAAATATACTATAAAAACTTGCTTATAATTAGAAGAGAACTCTTATGATTCATTTTGGGCACTTACCTTTCATCTTATTTTACTCATGATGGGAATCTCAGACATATAAAAAGAACTCAACTTCTTAGGAAATTATAATGCTTTTAAAAACCAACTAAATTTTCATTAGTGAGTCTAACAGTGAGGATGTGGACACTATCACATAGCAAGTTTTATATCTAAAAACGAGCCTTTGTGATTAAAAAGGAAGAGCTAGCTGACAGCAATTAAGAAAAGAAAAAAAAAAAAAACACATTCATTTTCTTCCTACCAGGAAGCAAAAATATCCCAAAGAATGCAGAAGAGCTATAGGATAGAAGTAAAATCCTCACAGAACAAGCTGTTTCTTTGTCCTTAGATATGCAGGTCTATACAACAAAACTGTGCATAGGATCCTACCTGTTGCGTGCCCTCGGAAGTACCTATAAATGAGACTTGTGCCTGTCACTATTTTTGGCGAAGTACAGGTTACCAAACTAGATACGAGTTAAACTTGAGCGCTTCAGCATTAGATAACTGGGATGGAACTACAAGGCCTACGAAACTGAGGCTCAACCTTGCATACTGTAGGTGTGCTTTTCTTCAGAAGGTTGATCCCACAGGGACTGGGACATACAGTCCACCAGCACTGGAAATGGCAGCATTACTGATAAAAATACACGATTCCAAGAGAAATGTGGTACCAGGTGCAACCAACTACAACTGCTACATTGTAAATGCAAAAGCCTTTAGGGACTTAAACATTATTCTAAATATTCTAAAGGAATTTCCTTTCCCAAAACCCTCTCCTGTATATTAAATATTTTTAAATTTAAGAATATACTTAGTTAAATAAGACACATTCAAATGAAACATTTGCCCAACAAGGATACCAAACATTAGAGTTTGTTTTATTGCATGACGTTTGCATAAGAAAAAGTATTATTGAAAATTGTAAGGCATCATGCAATCATTGATAAGCTAATTATTAACTGTACACTCGAGAGGCAGACAAATGATCTAAAATTTAAAAACTAGTACCAGAAAAGTACATAAAAAATTTAACATGATGAGCTTTTAAATATGGTTTATATTTGTAGATTCACAATGTTAAAAAGTGCTTCAAATGTACTGCTGCAAAGTTGCTCTTTATAAATGGTGCTGGGGTAAACGTCAGATTATAAACTTTAAAAACTATTTGTATGGAATTAGAAAGCAAACATTGGGATATTCAAACTTACTTGAATCAGTTTTCAATTCTCACTCAAATTAAGTTGATATAATATTAATAATCTAAAAAACATCTATTTTAAATCCAACAAAAGTCTATTGAATTCAAGTTATGCATGTTGAGTGATCAAATCTCTGAGTAGGCCTGAATGTGAGACCTGGAGCAGAGGCGGGTTGATGTCTATGTTAATCAATGTACTGTGCCATCCAGCGGAATCCTTCTCCATAACCTTGTCTTTTGAGCACACTGCACATGAAAACTTCTAAAGGTCGGGCATTCAGTTCTTTCAGAGATACATTGCCCTGGAAGAAAAGAGAGACACGTTGGAGCTTTATGAAATAAAAGCTCTACTCCCCAGTAGATAGTAGGTTCTACTTTATGTTTTTAATATTTATCTTTTCACTGTAACTGGACACAATAACTTTATTTTATTTATTTATTTTTATGTGGTGCTGAGGATCGAACCCAGGGTTTCGCATGTGCTAGGTGAGCACTCTATTGCTGAGCCACAGCCCCAGCCCAAGAATAAAAATATTCTATCATAGAAAAAAATACAAAGTGGCTTCATGGATAATAGAGACAACATTCTGAGTAGGTTTATGACCAAACTAGATATTTTTAATGTAAAGCTGACTTATTAAAAAGAAGACAAATGGGTGTGGTGGTGTATGACTATAATCCCAGCAATTTAGGTGGCTGAGGCAGGAGGATGGTGATTTCAAAGCCAGCCACAGCAATTTAGTGAGGCCCTAAGCAACTCAGTGAGATCCTGTCTGTAAATAAAATACAAAAAAAGGGTGGCGATGTGGCTCAGTGGTTAAGTGCCCCTAGGTTCAATCCCCAGTACCAAAAAAAGAAAAAAAAAAAAAGCTTGTATAATTTAAAGACACTTAAGGAGAGAGAGAGAATTTTTTTAATATTTATTTTTTAGTTATCGGCAGACACAACATCTTTGTTGGTATGTGGTGCTAAGGATCGAACCCGGGCCGCACGCATGCCAGACGAGCGTACTACCGCTTGAGCCACATCCCCAGCCCAAATATATATATTTTCAATTGTAGATGGACACAATACCTTTATTTTATTTATTTAGTTTTACATGGTGCTGGGGATCGAACCCAGGGCCTCACACATGCTAGGCAAGCACTCTACTTCTGAGCTACAACCCCAGCCCCTAATTTAAAGACACTTTTACTGCAGAATTAAATATTCACATCTGTCAAAGTTTTTTTTTTTTTTTTTTTTACCTTTCCTGTTGTCTGACCATATAAACCAAACATTTCTCGTAACCTCTCTTCACTGATAGCTTCAGGTCTGTCAATCTTATTCCCAAGAATCAGTATAGGCACATTAGCAATGGTTTCATCTGTCATTAGTGACTAAAAAAAAAAAAGAGCAAAAAAATACAAAAACAATCAAGGACTCATTCTCTACATTACACAACATGCTGATTTTTTTGGCAAACTTTTCCCACATCTTAAGGTAAATACAATGGACTCATAAATTTGATTCTTATGTCTCCCAAAAGCTCTTTCTGTAAATGTTCATTCTGCTCACTATGTAAATCAGTGAGGTAGAGTTGCTACAGCTAACCCCTTGGAGGTGGGCAGACATCGTTTCACTTCTGGTTCTGCTGCTTATGAGTTGCAACCATAGGCAAGTTAGCTTCACAGAAGCTCAGACAGAATAGAGAATAGTAGCACCTACCTTATGGAATTGATGTGAGAATTAAATGAAGTAATAGTGCACGTCTACAATGCCTGGCACATAGGAGGAATCAGGAACTCCCAGACCATGTCCCATGACCACAGAATCCATTTGACTATTCCATATAAAGGAGTATTTGTCTGCTCTGGGCAGAGGTATGATTTGCTTCAGTAAAAGCACAGAGCTACTTTGGTCCCAGATCTATTTCTGGTCTTATCTGCTATTCCTGAGACCCTTTATAAAGCATCTGGCCTGGGAGGGGAAAGGAGAGGTAGCTAAACATGTACCTGCTCACTTTTGGAAGTGGTGACAAAGATGACATATTATACTATTTCTAAATTCTAGCCAATTCCTGAAGAAATGGCATTCTAAGAAGGACTAGGGACTCAAGATAAACCCCACTCCAAGAATGCAGTACACATGAAATATACTAGGATGGGCACACTTTGTAGAGGGTGAACCCCTAGAAGAGTCTTTAAGAAGGTTGTCTATGTTCATGTTTCCTCAATAGCTACAATTACTACAAGTAATTCCTGCATTAAGTAGTAATCACTACTTAAAGCAGTCACTAAGCTCAACAAAATTTCAGGAGTTTCATCAGAGAGTACAGAAAGGCTGCATTCTGACACCATATTTCCAATTTATTTCTTCAGGTTTACCAGAGTGATTTTACTATGCTTAGTTTTAATTATTTAACTTACATCAAGTTCTTCTTTTGATTCTAACAGCCTTTCATGGTCTGCACAATCCACAAGAAATACAATGCCATTGATAGCAGGAAGGTAGTTTTTCCATACTCTTCGGGCTAACAAAAACAATCAGGAGTTAGAGAATTTATTTGCTGGTCAAACCTAGCAGATGGTTTGAATGAAGTGTCCAACAAGATAGTAAAGAATAGCCAGGTGTGGTGGTGCACATCTGTAATCCCAGCAGCTCAGGAGGCTGAGACAGGAGGATCGCAGGTTCAAAGCCAGACTTAGCAATGGCAAGGTGCCAGGCAACTTAGTGAGACCTTGTCTCTAAATAAAATACAGAACAGGACTAGGGATGTGGCTCAGTGGTTAAGTGCCCCTAAGGTTCCATCCTCAGTACCAAAAAAAAAAAAAAGATATTAAGAGTAGTTCTCCAAGGTGGGCACAGTGACACACACTTGTAATCCTAGCAACTTGGGAGGCTGAGGCAGGTGGCTTGCATGTTGGCGGCCAGTCTCTACAACTTAGCAAGACCCTATATCAAAATAAAAAATGAGCTACATCCCCAACCCTATTTTGTATTTTATTTAGAAACAGGGTCTCACTGAGTTGCTTAGCGCCCCTCGCCATTGCTGAGGCTGGCTTTGAACTCAAGATCCTCCTGTCTCAGCCTCCCAAGCTGCTGGGATTACAGGCATGGCACACTGCGCCCAGCTAGATTATAATTCTTACTATTCTTCACATCCCCAAAATTAATTTATATATATATATATATATATATAAAATTATTTTATGTATCAATTATTTTATGTATCAAATGTGCTTACACTAGCCACAACCATTTAAAATCCTTTCAAATATACATAAGAACAGCTTTTTAGAATGCCCATTAACTCTGTAATATGCATTAGTTATGACTTACTATGTGCTGGACATTGTCAAGTACTTTTGGGGATAAAAAATAAATTTAGATTTCTGTAGAATTTTAGTCCCACAATTTAATTTAGGAGATAAGATAGTCTTTCCTAAGCTTGCTGCAGACCTGTGCACACTGTAAAGTCTAAGGAAGCTAAACTGAGAGAACTCTAAGCTGGGAGTGGCTTCCCCGGGAAGGCAGCAGAATGTACACTGGGCCCTGAACTAGTTACTTAAATACACATGGGGATGGCATGAGCAAAAGCACAGAGATCACTAAGCTTTGGTTTGGATCGAATAAACAGAATGGGACTGTGTGCAGTAGCTCACACTTAGGCAGGAACATTACCAATTTAAGGCTAGCCTGGGCAAATAGTGAGACCCTGTCTCATGATAAAAATTTTTAAAAGACTGGTTATGTAGCTCTGTGGTAGAGGGTTTGCTTACATGCTCAAGGCCCTGGTTTATGCTCAATCCCAGAACCACCAAAAGAAAATAATAATAATAGTAATAATAATAAAAATAAAATAAAATACAATAAAATAAAGGGTGAGGGAGGGAGTGGAGAGGAGAATATCAGGGAAAAAAAGACAAGTCCATAGTACATACCAGAGACACTGAATGCCAGGTCAATAAATTTGGCCTTATTATTTTAAGTAATGAATTATCTACTGAAGGTGTTTTCAGAGCAGATACATATTCATAACATAATTACAACAACAGATGATAGGTAGACTGAAGCAGAAAGAATGGAAGCTAAATTTCACTCATATTTTTAATCACCATAAGCAACTTACACTAAAACTGACCAGGAATATTATGAAAATTACCTCTTGCTTTTAAAGCATTTATCGGGGGGTAATAATAATCCCTAAACTTTAAGTCTACTCTGGCTTTGCTTAAATAGAATGAGATTTCATGCACTGGAACATAATGGCCTTTCAACCAAGTTAAAATAAAACAAAGTGACTGTAATAGTAACAGAATCTTACCTTGAACATGTCCACCCAGATCAAAAGTTGTAAAAGTCATACCAGCAATAGTTAATTCTTCTGAAGCTAAAAAAAATAATACAATATTTTTATGATATAAAAATTAGAAATTCATTCAGAGCATGCATTATAACCTAATATTTGATTTACTGTAATTACAAATAAGGACAATGAAACATTTAGGAACTAGTAAAAGAATATTTTGTTATGATTAGTTATAATCCAATTAAAACAGATAATATAACACAAAAAATCATAATAGCCAATTCTGATAATCACTATCCATAATAAATCTAACATTTGTTTTTCCTTTTCTCATTTCTGCTGAAAATATTAACCTAGACAATTATGGTTCTGAATTCAAATGACTATTCCAATCTAAAACATTTTCATGTAATTCTTTATTTTGAAGGGGAGTACTGGGGATTGAATTTAGGGTCCTTCAGCCACTGAATCACATCCCCAACCCTATTTTGTACTTTATTTAGAGATAGGATCTCACTGAGTTGCTTAACCCCTCATTTTTGCAGAGGCTGGCTTTGAACTCATGATCCTCCCACCTCAGCCTCCCAAGCCGCTGGGATTACAGGCATGCACCACTGTATCCAGCTCTTGTAATTCTTCTTAAATGATGCAAGTGAAATAATCTAATAATATTTTCTTATGGCCATCATAAAACATTCTTCCCCCGCGACTGCTGGGGATTAAACCTAGTACCTCCAGGTATTCTACCATTGAGCAATATCCCCAGTCCCAAGACAGTCTAAAAGCAAACAGAATTTATAATAAAAAACTGGAAACATTACTTCTTCAATTTTTTTCTGCTCTCTCCTTTCTCCTTCTGGAATTTCACTTACAAGTCTCTTAGACTACCTGATATTGTCTTATAAGTCACTGAGGCTCTTTTTATTTTCCTTTCAGTCATTTTTCTCTCTGTGCTTCATTCTTTTTTTTTTTTTTTTGTAAGCAGCAAAGAGGTGTTTATTGCGAGCTAGTTCGGTCCTCCGCGCATACATAGCAACTGGTGACACTGAGAGGCCTCTGTGCTTCATTCGGTCTAGTGCCTATCACTGGTCTTTCCTTCTGCAGTATTGGCACTGTCTAATTTGCTGTTAATCCTATCCAAAGAAATTTTCATTGTTAGAAGTTTCATTTGGGGGCTGGGGATGTGGCTCAAGCAGTAGCGCGCTCGCCTGGCATGCATGCGGCCCGGGTTCGATCCTCAGCACCACATACAAACAAAGATGTTGTGTCCGCCAAAAACTAAAAAATAAATATTAAAATTCTCTCTCTCTCTCTCTCTCTCTCACTAAAAAAAAAAACAAATTAAAAAAAAAAGTTTCATTTGGGGCTGGGCATGGTGGTGCAGGCCTATAATTGCAGAGATTTGGGAGGCTGAAGCAGGAGAATCACAAATTCAAAAACAGCTTCAGCTACTTAGCAAGACTCTATCTCAAAATAAAAAATAAAAATGGCTGGGGATGTGGCTCAGTAATTAAGTGCCCCTGGGTTCAATCCTTGGTTTAAAAAAAAAAAAAGTTCCATTTGGTTCCATCTTCCATTTCTCTCCTTATTAAGTACATGTTTTCCTTTAAATCCTTGGGCATACAACAGCTTTTTTTTTTAGAGAGAAAGAGAGAATTTTTTAATATTTATTTTTTAAATTTTTTAATATTAAATTTTTAATATTTATTTTTTATATTTTTAATATTTATCTTTATTTTATTTTTATATGGTGCTGAGGATCAAACCCAGGCGAGCGCGTTACCGCTTGAGCTACATCCCCAGCCCACAACAGCTGTCTTAATGACCTTATCTGTCCATTCCATCATCTTCTATCACTTTGGGGTTTGTTTCTTCTGATTGCATTTTTCGCCTCACTTCTCTAGTTCTTTATGTGTCTAGTAATTTTAACAATGGATGCTAAATTTTGTTGTATTTCTTTGGATTTTGCCTTGGAGGACTGTAAATTGCCTGTAGATTCATTTTTAAGTTCTGTTAGGAAAAAACAGCTTTTCTTTGGGGCTACTTTAGCCCCACTACTAAAGTATGATCCCTCTGGGTCCTCTATTCAATGCCTGTGTATCTGATCAAATATGCCCATTCTAGCTAGAAGGACTTGAATATTCACAGTCCTTTGTAAGCTTTAGTAATGATTTGGCTGATAGCTCCCTATAATTGTTCTTTCTCCAGAAATGATTCCTTGATTAACCTTGTGGAGTTTTTGTTGTATGCATGTACAGAATGGTGTTCAGCCATGCACATTTCTAGAGTTATTTCTATTGAGCTCCCCCTTCCCTCCCAACAAACTCTCATTACTTTGGCCTCCCCAAAGTCTGTTCTCTTGTCTCCAACTTAGCAAGACTAGAGGGCTATGTTTGGGTTTCCTTTCTTTGCACAATGGTCTGAAAATTACCTCCTATCAGAAAGCTAGAATAAAGAAGTTTTCCTTCTTTCAGGAATTATAATCTTGTGCAATTGCCCAATCCTTGAAAACAGTTGTAGTCATATGATTTTTCTGTCTAGTTTTCTAATCATTTATAGTGAAAGAATAATTTCATACTGTTACTCTTCCTTCTAGACCAGAAACAGAAGTTCCCCCATAATTACAGTGGAAGTGCTAGTGTTAACTACTCTAGCTCAGAGTAGTTTATTTTATTAACAAACTATTGTTAGAGTAGCAAATGAATTAAATATTTATATAATCATTGTTCAAAGTCACTAACCATAAGGAAAAGATAATGCTTGGATATGGCTGGCAAACCACTTCTGTGGTTATAATCACCAATACACTCTTCGTTCTGTTTTTTTTTTTTTTTAAAGTCCTGGTTTAATTAAGATACAGAACACTGTTAAAACATCCCAGAAAAGTCCCCTATTGTCTCCTCCCAGTTAATTACCAGCTCCACCCCCCAGAAACAAACATTAATCTGAATTCTATCACCATAGGTTAGTTTTGCCTGTTCTCAAATATGAGATAAATATACAGCAGGTAACTTTTGGTGATCAGCTTATTCTGTGTAGTATAATATGACTGAATGTAGTTTATTCCCTTTCTTGCTGAGTTGTATCCCACTGCATATTCATTCTTTTTTAAGTAGACATCTGAGGTGTTTCTAGTTTTTTGGCAACTACAAAATAAAGCTGGATTAAAGACTCCTGTATAAACTTTTTGGTAAATATGTCTTCATTTTTCCTGGATAAAACACCTAAAGTAGAATTGTTATATCACAGGATATATGTATGTTACCTTTTTTTTTTTTTTTTGTGGTGCTGGGGATTGAACCCAGGGCCTTGTGCATGTAAGGCAAGCACTCTACCTACTGAACTATATCCCCAGCCCTCACATATATTCTTTATATATACATATATATATATAAAAAAAACACAATTTTTTAGTTGTAGTTGGATACAATACCTTTATTTTATTTATTTTTATGTGGTGCTGAGGATCGAACCCAGGGCCTTGCAGGTGCTGGGTGAGCACCCTACTGCTGAGCTCCAGCCCCTCACATATTCTTTTAATTAAAAAATGTGAGCTATAATTAATGTTAGCTGCAGCAAAGTGAAGACAGCATCTGTTTAGTGTCACTGTTGTATCCATAGCATTTAGAAAAATGTTTGGTTTTGAAGTAAGCACTCAATATTTGGTGAATAAATGAAAGACAGCAACATCAAAAAGTAAGAAAGCAACTTATACCACTCTAGAGGTAGGTCTCTTCCAATTCTGCTGTTTTTGCAATTTTATATATTAAATTTTACCATGATCATTTTCTCTAACAGTACTGTTCTTGTATCAGAATCTTATTTATCAAGCCCCCCCTCTTCTAATATAAAAAAGATTTATCAATTTTATGAAATGTTCCTTTTCTAACCTAATAGTTTTATGGAAAAAAATAGTTTTGTTCTCTTCTCCTTCCTTAGTCATTTTTCACCCCCACTACAGGGGATTGAACAAGGGCACTCTACCACTGAGATACATTTTGAGTCTTTTTTATTTTGAGATAGATTCTCACTAGAGTTTGGCCTTAAATTTACTTCCTCAGTCTCCAGAACAGCTGGGATTATAGGTGGGTGTTACCACACTTGCTCTTTGAACATTTACTGAACAACTATTATCTGCTTTTTGGTCTAGTTTTCAATTTTATACTCCTTATTAAAGCTACACTGGCTCTGATATGTGACTTCTAACACACAATAAGGCAGGGAGAGAAGAGAAGTTCATTAGATTACACAAAAGAGAATGAAAGGAAAGAAGGAGGGATGAGAATAGGAAAGACAGTAGAATGAATTGGACATAACTTTCCTACATTCATATATAAATACACGACCAGTGTAACTCCACATCATGTACAACCATAAGAATGGGAAGTTACACTCCATGTATGTATAACATGACAGAAACAAACTGTCATGTATATCTAAAGAGAACAAGTTTAAACATACACACACACACATATATACACAAAACAAAAATTAAAAAAAAATAAATAAAGCTACACCAGGCTGGGATTACAGCTCAGTGTTAGAGCACTTGCCTAGTATGTGCAAGGACCTGGGTTCCATTGCTGGCACCACAATAAATAAATACACTCCTTAATCCATCATTAATCTTTTTTTTCCCCCCAGGGCTGAGGACCAGACTCAGGGCCTTGCGTGTGCTAGGCAAGTGCTCTGCCACTGAGCTAAATCCCCCAACCCCACATCATTAATCTTGTATTATCTTTCTTTAAACATTGTACCTACCTGATTTATAATCTTTCACTAGCAAAAGTAAGGTCACAGGTATGTATAAATTCATTTTAGGCCGGGCATGGTGGCATACACCTATAATCTCAGTGGCTCAAGAGGCTAAGGCAGGAGGATCACAAGTTCAAAACTAGCCTCAGCAACTTAGCAAGGCCCTAAGCAATCCAGAAAGACCCTGTCTCCACATAAAAAAGGGTTGAGGATGTGGGTCAATGGTTAAATGTCCCTGGGTTCTATCCTGAGTATCCCCTACCCCAAATCATTTTAACATTAGCTTTACTTTCTAAAACATACTCATTGGGGCTGGAGATGTGGCTCAAGCGGTAGCGCACTCGCCTAGCATGCGTGAGGCCCAGGTTCGATCCTCAGCACCACATACAAACAAAGATGTTGTGTCCGCCGAATACTAAAAAATAAATATTCAAAATATTCTCTCTCTCTCTAACATATGTAACTGTTTAAAAAAAAAAAACATACTCATTATATAAACTTATTTCAGGATGGTATGAATTAAGTAATTTACAGGATGATTACTAATGTCTTTCTAAAAGAAAATAGGAAAGTATTTTAAAAATTGCTTTACAATTTTCTTTTTTTTTAAAATATTTTTAGTTGTAGATGGACATAATAACTTTATTATTTATTTTTATGTGGTGGTGAGGATTGAACCCAGTGCCTCATACATGCTAGGCAAGTGCTCTACCACCGAGCCACAACCCCAGCCCCTGCTTTACAATTTTCTACATCAGTACATGCCCTGTTTTTTGGCATAATTCTATAGTGTGTATTTTTAAAATATTTATTTATATCGTGGCACCAGGGATTAAACTAGGGGCCTGGTGCATGCTAGCCATTTGCTGTACTTCTGAGCTACATCCTTAGCCTCCGTCAGCCTCACATCCTTTAGCATGGGTGTATATTAGATATTGTTGACATTTTCAGGAATTAAAAAAATAACTGAGTAACAAGTTGAGCGTTACCAGCAATGTATAAAACCATAAACTATCTACTGAGCAAGTGATTAAAATAGTTTGGTTTTAAAATACATTAGAAATTCAGGCTATGTAAACAAGATAATCACGACTATATACTGATCATGTCATAATCTCTGAGAATTTTTTTAAGTTTTTTAGCTAGAAAAGGAAGTAGTAATAGATAAAATAGTATGAGTATTATTTGAAGACCTAAATATATTCCTTGGAAGCTAGGTAATTTATTATTTATTATACTATTTTAGGAACAGTTCACACAAACTGATCATAATATATCCATCAAAAACAAATCCCTTTTGGTTAGTGCATATGACTCAGCATCACTTTAATCAAGTATTATGTCAGATGGGGGAATATACTTACTGGGATGTAAGGTTGGGACATGTTGTCCAAGTCTGTCATCTTTTAGCATGTGTAGCAATGTTGTTTTTCCCGCATTATCCAGTCCAAGAAATACCAATTTACCGGTTTTCTTATATAATCCTGTAGATTAAAAGCTCTGATTAGTCAAAGTGATATTGACATAGATTATCCAAATGACTTTAAATTTTGCCTGAATAAGCATGAATTTCTAAATTTATTTTCAGGGCTGGGGATGTGGCTCAAGCGGTAGTGCGCTCGCCTGGCATGCGTGCGGCCCGGGTTCGATCCTCAGCACCACATACAAACAAAGATGTTGTGTCTGCCGAAAACTAAAAAAATAAATATTAAAACAAAATTCTTGCACTCTCTCTCTCTCTTTTAAAAAAAAATTAATTTATTTTCAGTCTTAACAGAACTATTTTACATCTATTCATGATTCGGGACTTCAAATAATTAAAAAACTAAACTTGACAACAGTTGGTGAAATATTTGTATTTCCTAAACATATCTGCAATAGTAAAAAGCTGATACATTCACAATTTAGGGGTAAAATCTGTGTTCTCTATTAGAAAAACACTGAAAAAAATAGTTGATATCATGTATTTATAAAGCTAGACTGAGGAAAAAAATGTTTGTTTGTTTTTGTTATCGGGGATTAAACCCAAAGGAACCCTAATACTGAGCTATATCCCCAGCCCTTTTTATTTATTTATTTATTTATTTAAGTTGTAGATGGATACAATCTTTATTTATTTATTTTTATGTGGTGCTGAGGATCAAACCCAGTGCCTCATGTGTGTGAGGCAGGCACTCTACCACTGAGCTACAACACCAGACCAGCCCTTTTTATTTTTTATTTTGAGAGAGGGTCTTACTAAGTTGCTTAGGGCCTCACTAAATTGCTGAGGCTGGCCTTGAACTTGCAATTCTCCTGCCTCAGTCTCCCCAGTTGCTGGGATTATAGGTGTGTACCACCCTACCCAGCAAGGATAATTTTTTTTTTTTTTTTTTTTTTGCTGGTCCTGGGAATTGAACCCAGGGCCTTGTGCATGTCAGGCAAGCACTCTACCAACTGAGCTATATCCCCAGCCTGAAGGAAATTTTTAAATAAAGTTTTGTTTTGTTTAAAATTCTGGGGATGGAGCATTCTATCTCTGAGCTATATCCCCAGCACTTTTAAAATTTATTTATTTATTTAAATTTATTTATTTGGTACCAAGAATTGAACCCTGAGCCATGTCCCCAGCCCTTTTTTAAAATAATTTTTTTGGTAGTTGTGTATGGACAGAATGCCTTTATTTTATTATTTATTTTTATGTGGTGCTAAGGATTGAACCGGGTGTCTCAATCTGCCACTGAGCTACAGCCCCAGCCCCCAGCTCTTTTTTTTTTTTTTTTTTAAAAGAGAGAGAGAGACAGAGAGAGAGAGTGGGAGAGAAAATTTTTTTTTTTTTTTAATATTTATTTTTTAGTTTTCGGCGGGCACAACATCTTTGTTTGTATGTGGTGCTGAGGATCGAACCTGGGCCGCACGCATGCCGGGTGAGCGTGCTACCGCTTGAGCCACATCCCCAGCCCCCCAGCTCTTTTTATATATTTTTTTATTTTGAGACAAGATCTGGCTACATTACTTAGGGCCTTGATAAGTTACTGAGGCTAGCTTTGAACTTGTGATCCTCCTCTCAGCCTCCGGGGCCACTGGAATTACAGGTCTGTGCCACCATGTCCAACTCAGTCCTTTTAAAAAAAAAAAAATTAAATTTTTTCATTTGGGGCCAAGGTCTTACTAAATTGCTGAAGTTGGACTTTAACATTTGATCTTGTCTCAGCATTTCAAGTCATTGGAATTACAGTCCTGTGTCACCATGACTGATTAAAAACAGATTTTTTTTCATGAATGAAAACAAGTATTTTTGGTGAAAAAATAACAGTGAGCATTCTTTCAGCTAAAAAGTTAAGAGGTTAATTGTTGAATTTAACTTAACTTACTAAATTAGACTAAACTGTTGATCATAGGATTATATAAAACTAAGCTATAACAACAGAAACAAAAATCCCAAGTATATAATCTTACACATATCAATGAGGCAATGATAAATTTATAAATGCTGAAAATGCAGCATTGACCAATTTATAGTAGACTGACATTTAAAAGCTAAATATTGAACTTCATTCCTTTTTTGCTAGTACTGGGGATCAAACCCAGAGCCTCACACATGCTAGGCAACCATTCCACCATTGAACAACATCTCCAGCTCTGTTTTATTTTGGAATAAGGTCTTGATAAACTGCCCAGCCTGGCCTTGAATTGGTGATCCTCCTGCCTGAACCTCCTGAGCGGCTGGGATTACAGGTGTGTACCACCATGTCTGGCCTTAACTTTACTTTTTAAAATCAAATTTTGAGGCTGGGACTTAAACCCAGGGCCTCACACAGTCCAAGCATATACTTTACCACTAAGCTATACCCTCAACCTTCAACTTTCTTAGGTGCTTAGTTTTTTAACCCCATAGAATTGCAAGAGAACACAGGACTTATCTTTACTCATGGCAGAAGCTCAAAAAAATATTTACTCAATTAATAAATGAGGTTTTTAGGATATTAAGCACTTATGGTTTTTCTTTCTTTTTTTTCTTATATTCTGCTTTCCCCTTTAATTTTTTAAAATATTTTTTTATTTGTTATAATTAGTTACACATGACAATAGAATGCATTTTGACACATCATACTCAAATGGAGGCTTATGGTTTTTCTTGTGCATTTGTGTGTGTTATGTGTGTGGTACTGGGGACTGAGCCCAGGGTACACTACCACTGAGCTACATCCCCAGACCTTTTTATTTTTTTATTTTGAGAAAAAGTATCACTAAATTGCCAAGGCTGACCTCAAACTTATGATAGTCCTGCCTCAGCCTCTTGAGTAGACAGATTACAGATGTGCAATCCACTACAAAATTTATTTCCTTTGTCAAGAAAATGTTCATGGAAGAAGAAATATTTATATAGGAGATATAATTCTGTAAGCACTGTGACCTGTCTGAAACTATGCCATGAAATCCAGTTCAAAAGATTGATGATTACAGAGAGACTAAATGCAGGGTAAAATTTGAAAATCAGGAGACTGGCAATATCTTCAAATGTTTGTTAATTATTCCAATAATAAATATATATATATATATATATAAATATATATAAATAAAAATATATATATATCAACAGAAGTTAATTTGGCCAGGCACAGTGGTGCATACCTATAATCCCAGCTATTAGGAGGCTAAGGCAGGAGAATTGCAAGTTTGAGACTAGCAGAGGCAACAAAAAATCTAAAGGGCTGGGGATGTAGCTCAGTGGTAAATTGTCTCTGATTCAATCCCTAGTTTGGCGGGGTGGGGTGGGGGAAGGGGTAAAGGGATGAATAATTAATATGATTGTTATGATTTTAAACCTTGCATTCTTGCTGGGCATTATATGCCTATAATCCCAGCTGCCTGGGCAGCTGAGGCAGGAGGATCACAAACTCAAGGCCAGCCTGAACAATTTAGCAATGCCCTGTCTCAAAGATAAAAAGGGCTGGGGAGGTAGCTCTGTGGTAAAACATCACTGGATTCACCTACAGTACCACAAAAAATAAATAAGCAAAAAAGCTTGCATTCTTAACTACTGGCTTATATATAAAAAGGCTCTATGCAAATAAGCATACTTATATATAAACAGATTAAATGGGATAACTATGGAGAACAAAGGGCAGCCATTACCTAAAAACTGTAGTACACTGCTGAACCCACTGTAAATCCAATCGAATATGAAGGACATATCCAAATCTTACAGGGTCTGAAAAAGAGTTTTGAATTTAGTAATCAACATTATATACCAACATTCATTAAACACTAACACCAACTTTGAATAAATAATACTACAACAATCTTACTATAAAGAGTTAAGCACTATTATCCAGGCCCCCATAACTTAATAGATACTGACACATAAAAAAGGAAAATGTCATTATAATACTAAGTAGAGAATGTTCTATGTCCATCTAAGTAACAAAATGAAAGAGAATTAACAACAATCTGAACTAAAAAGAAAGGGGCAAAAAGGCACACAGTTCATGGCAGTATAAAATAGTACCAATTTTTTCTTCTTTTTCTGGAGGAGAGGGGTGGTACTGAGGATTGAACCCAGGATCAGTCTACAACTGAGTTACATAACCAACCTTCTTTTCTTTTCCTTCCTTCCTTCCTTCTTTTCTTTCTTGATAGGGTCTTGCTATATTGCCATGCTGGGGACTGAACCCAGGGTACTCTACCACTGAACTCTCATCCTCCTGCCTGGCCTTGAGTTGCTAGATTATAGGTGTGTGCCACAGTCCCTGGCTTAGTGTAAATCTTTTTCTTTTATTTTTCTTTCTAAAAATTTTTTTTCTTTTTTCTTTCGGTACTGGGGATTGAACCCAGGGGGGCTTTGTCACTGAGCTACATCCCCAGCCCTTTATAATTTTTTATTTTGAGACAGGATCTCACTAAGTTACTTAGGGCCTACCCAAGTTGCTGAGGCTGGTCTTGAACTTGCAATCCTCCTATTTCAGCCTCCTAAATTACTGGGATTATAAGAGTGTGCCATCGTGCCTGGTAGTACAAATCTTTTTCAAAACCAATTTGGCAATGTATCTGTTGATATCATTTGATCCAAGAATTCTTTATAAATTATCCTAAACGTAGAGAATCTTTATGCATAAATATACTCTTCATTAGTGTTATTTAAGAAAAATTTTGGAGCCAGGTATGGTGGTATATACCTATAATCTCAGCAACTTGTGAGGGTGAGACAGAAAGATCAAAAGTTAAAGGCCAAACTCAGCAAATTAGCAAGGCCCTCAGCAACTTTGGTGAGACCCTATTTCAAAATAAAAAACATAAAGGACTGGGGATGTAGCTCAGTGGTAAAGCACCCCTGGGTTAAATCCCCAGTACCAAAAAAAAAAAAAATTGGAGATAATCTATGTTCAGTAAATTAAATAAATTATAGTATATACAGTCATGGGACATTTACTACATCCTTGTAGTGGGTATTGGGGGGAGAAAGGAGGAAGAGCAGAGAGAAAAGAAAGAGGATATTTTTGTTTGTTTGTTTTGTCCTGAAGCCTTTTTCTTTTTTTTTTCAATTGCTTTTATTTTTTAAATACATGATAGTGGAATGCATCACAAGTCTTATTACACATATAGAACACAATTTTGTACATAAAGTATGTTCACATCAATTCCTGTCTTCATACATGCACTTTGGATAATGATGTTCATCACATTCCACAATCATTGCTAATCCCCTGCCCCCTCCCTTTCCTTCCCACCCCTCTGCCCTATCTAGAGTTCTTCTATTCCTCCATGCTCCCTCTCCCTACCCCACTATGAGTCAGTCAACTTATATCAGAGAAAATATTCGCCATTTGTTTTTTTGGGGATTGGCTAACTTCACTTAGCATTATCTTCTCCGATGCCAGCCATTTACCTGCAAATGCCATAACTTTATTCTCTTTTATTGCTAAGTAATATTCCATTGTGTATATACACATTTTTTAATCCATTCATTTATTGAAGGGTATCTGGGTTGGTTCCATAGTTTAGCTATTGTGAATTGTGCTGCTATAAACATTGATATGGCTGTGTCCAAGAAAGAGGATATTTTTATAAGAAGGTTGTGGTAATGAAAAAAATCTGATTATACCTGTGTGGAATAAAGACCCTTTTTTTGTTGTTTTTTAAATAGCAAGTGGTGCTAAGTGGTAAATTTCTTGCCTGTTATCTTTCTGTATTTTTCAAATTTTAATCATATTGCTCAATGCTAAAATTTTTTTAAATCATAGAAAATAAAATATAGTTTAGTTCATTATTTACTTAACAGATTTGATAAACTAATAGAGTAATATGGGAAATATGAGAAAAAGCCTCTTGAGAGAAGAAGGATCACACATATAAAAATATAAAAAAGGTCAACAAAGTTCATTTTTCAGATAGGAATAAAAGAACAGGCCCGAAACTTGGGTCAAGTTCAAAATTTTTCAAGGGTGTGCTTTCTTTATCATTCTTTAGACAAGTATGACATACACACACACTATTTAATATGTTTTTTTATATCTGTATATAAAAAAGAGAGAAACCAATCTTGCTTTTTAAAAATATTTTTAGCTATAGATGGACACAATATCTTTATTTATATTTTTATGTGGTGCTGAGAATCTAACCCAGTGCCTCACACATGCTAGGCAAGTGTTCTACCACTAAGCTACAACCTCAGCCCCCAAACCTGCTTCTTAAAAAAGAGAAATCAATCCTGCTTCTTATGTTTCTACTCAAAGCCCTATGTCCACAATTCTACAGAGGGCAACAAAGTGCAGTTAAGGAAAGCCTTCTGGGATAATAGTTAGCCTGAGTCTTAAAGATTAAGTAGGAATTTGCTAGAAGGTTGTGAAGAACTTACAGTGTACAGAGGTGTGAAACTGAATAGGTAAAGGTCAAAGGTCAAGTATGGTTGGGTGACACGATTGTGATAGGGTTGAACAGAGAGTAAAAATCAATGGGTGCTAACTAGTGAGACAGGAGCCAGAGTAATAGGAACCACTGAGTCAAGAACTTTTTTGTCACCAGGTATGGTGGCATGCACCTGCAGTCTCAGCTTCTCAGAAGGCTTAGGTAGCAATGTCTGAGCCCAGGAGTTTAAGGCCAGCTTGGGAAACAGAGTGAGACTCTATCTCCTAAAAAAAAAAAAAAAAAAAAGTGGCAGGGTGGGGGCGATGGAGATGTAATTCAGTGGTAGAGTACTTGACTAATATGCATAAGGTTTTGGGTTCTAGCCTAAGTACATCAAAAATAATCCTTAGGGAAACTTTGATATATACCACAATGGAACATTACTCAGCATTAAAAGAGAATAAAATCATGGCATTTGCAGGTAAATGGATGGAGTTGGAGAATATAATGCTAAGTAAGGCAAGCCAATCCCAAAAAACCAAAGGCCGAATGTTTTCTTTGAGGATGTTGACTCATAATGGCCATGGGGGGAGGATAGGAGGAATGGAGGAACTTTAGATAGGGCAAAGAGGAGGGAGTGGAAGGGAGGGGGCAAGCAGGTAGGAATGATGGTGGAATGAGTTAGACATCATTACCCTAAGTTCATGTATGAAGACATGAATGGTGTGAAAATACTTTGTGTACAATCAGTGACTTGAAAAATTGTGTTCTATATGTGTAATATGAAATGAATTGCATTCTGCCATCATGTATAACAAATTGGAATAAATACATAATTAAAAAAAATAATCCTTATATAACATTCCTGACAACCATCTTTTTTTGGGGGGGTGGCACCAGGGACTAAACCCAGGAGCACTTAACCACTGAGCAACATCCCCAGTCCTATTTTTTGTATTTTATTTAAAGACACAGTCTCACTGAGTTGCTGAGGCTGGCTTTGAACTCTCAATCTTCCTGCCTTACCTCCCGAGCCGAGCTGCTAGGATTATAGACATGCACACTCCAGCTCCCAGCCTTTTTATATTTTATTAGAGACAGGGTCTCGCTGAGTTGCTTAGGGCCTTGCTAAGTTGCTGAGGCTGGTTTTGAACTCACAATCCTTCTGTCTCAGCTTCTCACTTCAGCCTCCCAAGCTGCTCAGATTACAGGTATTCACCAACACAACCAGTTCTAACTACCACCTTCATCTCAAAATGTGTCTCTAGCCATCTTTTTTGAGGGGAAAAGTACTGGGGATTGAACTCAGGTGCACTCAGCCACTGAGCCACATCCCCAGCCCTATTTTGTATTTTATTTAGAAACGGGTCTCACTGAGTTGCTGTTGCTGAGGTTGGCTTTGAACTCACAATCCTCCTGTCTCAGCCTCCCTAGCCACTAGGATTACAGGCGAGCGCCACTGGCTCTATCCATCTGTACACTGTCTCCAGAATGGCTTTACCAAAATTTTATCTTGGACTTGACTTGTTATGTTGTCAGGGTGACCATAACTATCAGTCTGCTGAAGAGACTCTCAGCTCATACCTATTATATCTCTGTAATTTTTAATAGTGCTTCCGTCACTCAGAAAGGCCCCTGTTTAGGTGATAAATTATTTGGCCACCTAAATTATGCAGTGGATGAAGAGCCACCAGTGGTGTTTTTTTTTTTGTTTTTTTTTTTTTTGGTGTGTATGTGTATTAACCTTTTTTCTTTAAATCTATTTATGTATTTATTTATATGTGGTGCTGAGAATTAAACCTAGTGCCTCACAAATACTAGGCAAGTACTCTACCACTGAGCTAAAACCACAGCCCCCACCACCAGTGTTTTGGTTTTTCTCCTGCTGGAGACCGAACTCAGGGGCACTTTATCACTGAGCAACTTCCTCAGCCATTTTTTTAAATAGATTTTTAAAAAATATTTATTTACCTTTTTTTACTTATAGGTGTACACAATATCTTCATTTTATTTTATGTGATGATCAAACCCAGAGGATCAAACCCAGAGCTTCACCTATGAGCCACAACCCTAGCCCTTCCTCAGCCATTTTTATTTTTATTTTGAGACAGGGTCTTGCTATATTGATAAAGGGCTTGTCAAATTGCTGAGGCTGGCCTGAACTTATGACCCTCCTGCCTCAGCCTCCCAAATTGGGGATTACAGGTTTGTGCCACCTTGTTTGGTCCACTAGGGGTTTTTTATTTTTATTTTTTAAATATTTTTTAAATTGTAGATGGACACAATACCTTTTTTTAATTTTTTTTTTTTTAGAGAGAGAGAGAGAGAATTTTTTAATATTTATTTTTTAGTTTTCGGCGGAGACAA